TTGTTTCAACAACAACAAAAAAATGTCTCACCGTGTTAGCATACTGTGAAGGAACATTGCCAGAGAAGTCGATACCAGTTGCCCAGAACACCCAGCCTGACTGGTATGTGTTGTACTCGGCATGGTCATAGTACATCCACCTGTGTTGTGCGAATAAGAATGCGTTGTGCGAATGAGAATGCGTTGTGCGAATAAGAATGCGTTGTGCGAATAAGAATCAGGATATCTGCTGTGTGTGTGTGTGTGTGTGAGTACGTGCGGGTGTGTGTGTGTGTGTGTGTGTGTGTGTGTGTGTGTGTGTGAGTGAGTACGTGCGGGTGTGTGTGTGTATGTGTGTGTGTTGGGGCGTGTTTGTTGTTTTATTCACGGTTTTATATTTGTCAATCTATTATGATTATCATTCCATGGTGATGTTACTCTTTGTATAACAGCGATAATGATGATGATAATGATAATATGATGGTGATGATGATGATAAAAGGTAGCAAATACAATGATAACACATAATAGTAATGATAATGTAATAATAATAATAATCATGATAATAATAATAATAATAATAATAATAATAATAATAACAATTTTGATAATAATTATGATAATAGGAAAAACAATAATAATGATAATTTCATAGTGATGGTAATGATTATAATAATAACAATGATAATAATAATGAAAATAATGATAATGATAAGGATAATAACAATAGTGATAATGATATTATCAATAACAATAAAAATAATAATGGTAATGATGACAATGGTAATGACATCAATAATTATATAATAATAATGATAGCAATAGTAATTACAGTGACATAATAGAAAATAATAATGATAATGATAGTAATAATAATGATAATATGATGATAATAGTAATAATAATATCATGACAATGAGAATATAATAATGATGATAATTATATAATATAAAGAAAATGATAATATAATGATAATGATAATAATTATATAATAAGAATAACATAATGATAAATAATAACAATAAAGAAAAAAAACAACCACAGCAGCTGAAACATTTAGACACCGACTCACACTCCTGTCTCCCTGATGCTCTCGATGGTGTTGTCAAAGTGGTAAAGGCCGAGGTTGGGAACGTACTCGTTGAAGTCGTACCACTCCCCGTACAGGTTTTGGTCAGCATAGCAACGCGTTTCCGAGGAGTAGGAAGCCGTGCCAGGACGAGCGCCTGCGAGGAATGGGAGTGGAAGAGGAGGAGGCGTGAGGGAAGGAGCCCGAGAAGGAGACCCAGGAAGTCACCCTAGAGCCCGAGAAGGAGACCCAGGAAGTCGCCCAAGAGCCCGAGAAGGAGACCCAGGAAGAAGAGAAGGAGACCCAGGAAGTAGAGCCGAGAAGGAGACCCAGGAAGTCACCCTAGAGCCCGAGAAGGAGACCCAGGAAGTCACCCTAGAGCCCGAGAAGGAGACCCAGGAAGTCACCCCTGAGCCCGAGAAGGAGACCCAGGAAGTCATGAGACCCAGGAAGTCACCCTAGAGCCCGAGAAGGGACCCAGGAAGTCACCCTAGAGCCCCCAGGAAGACCCTAGAGCCCGAGAAGGACCAGGAAGTCACCCTGAAGAGACCCAGGAGACCCAGGAAGTCACCCTAGAGCCGAGAAGGAGACCAGGAAGTCACCCTAGAGCCCGAGAAGGAGGCCCAGGAAGTCACCCTAGAGCCCGAGAAGGAGACCCAGGAAGTCACCCTAGAGCCCGAGAAGGAGACTAAGGAGGTCTGAGGTCTTGTTTACATGGTTTTGGTTCGGGTTCTTTGTTATTGGACTATCTATCCTTCCTTCTCTAGTTGCTGGGGGGAGTTGCATCAGCATACATACAGTACACGCAGTCACACATACACACATATACATCATATTTTAAAGGTATATCGAGAATATATAGTAAAGAAATAGACAGCGGGAGCCTTATAAGATATTTTATCCATCACATGAAATCTCAAAGACAGACTGACCCAGTAGCACAAGCAGAAGCACAGTTGACTTGAGGACTCGCTCCATGATGAGGTAAAGGCTGCCTTTGAAGCGAAAGTGAGCCAAAGGGAGACAGAACAGCTGATATAGTCGCGTATCTAGTGTGTGTGTATGTGTGTATGTGCGTGTGTGAAAATGCGTATCTATTCCTTTTTTTTCTATACATTCAGTTCGATTTCATATATTTATGCGCGCACGTGTGTATTGTGCATGCGCCTGTGCTTGTGTTGTGTGTTCGTGTGCGTGTGTATCTTTCAATGTTCATAAAAAGCAACAACACTTTTTTTTTTAATTCTATCCTTATGTAAAATCGCATTCTTTCCTTCATCAAGGAATTCAATCGATCATCTTTCTCATAAAATATTCTAAATATACACATCTTATCACAGCATTCCCTCGCCAATTGACGACATACGTGACGATAGCGAGCAGTGGAGGTCGACTTGAGTGAGAGTGTCAACATCTGCAATTGTTCACTTTAAAAAAAAATGCTGTTGAGAAGGAAAAACCACTGTGCGGGTTTCAGCCTTATCAAATTATTTTTTCGATAGATGTTGCAACTCAGCAGCTGTTATAGGTTTATTTTTATTACAAGTGGCGTTCTTTCCATTCTATTATTTTTTTTTCCAACGAGTTAACTTTTACTATCTATTTTTTTTTAATCTGGTCAACACTTTCCATTTATTTTGCTGCTTTTCTTTTTTTTTATCTAATCAACTCTGTATGATAATTGTGTTGGTTGTTTTATGTTTTGTGTGTAGTTGAGAGCGAAACTAAGAATAAATATATTTTTTTCTTTCTTTCTTTCTTTTATTAATTATTTTTTTAAAAAGGTTTTAGTGTCACTTCAGACATGCGAACCGACACATTTTTACTCTTGTTTCAATCATGTTCCAATCATGTTCCAGTCATGTTCCAATCCTGCTTTATAGGATTTAACATCGGTTTGGTCTTGTACGAATAGCACTTGCACCGTATCATATATACATATATTTTCCTTTGATCAAATGGCATTGTAGTTTATTGCTTATTAAATAGCTATTAAATTCGTAAATGGTCTTAAACGGATCCTTATTTCCCTTACACATCACTATTTATATCAATCGATTAAAAGTTTGAACAATATTATGTATTTAAAGCTTTACGTGAACACGATAGCGGAACAACCACTTGTCTTTATGTGCCATGTTGTTCCTCATACCACGTGACCCGCATACTCATAGCTGGCCCTTTGCTGCACGTGAGCTTAAAGGGAAGTAGTGATATCAGTTCATAATGAAAAAATAGCGGCGGAACTGCAGCTGTCAAACGTTATTGGTGAAGAACATTTCCTACACTCATCCGTATCTATTTCTTTTTTCTACAAATTCATTTCGATTCCATCTGTTTACATCCGCACGTGTGTGAGCGTGTGTATGTATCGAGTGTTTTTTTGTGCATGCATTGCCTGTGTTTGGGTTGTCAAGCAAAGCCCATAATGGAGATTCACCGACGCGATGTATATCTCAACTGCACATCTTCATATATATGTCTATCAATACGATTCTTCTCGGAAGGAAAAGAGAGTATATATTCCCGTTATATCTACGCATCAACATTTTTTCTGAAAGTCTACGCCACATTTGACTAATTTTTTACCTCTTCCAATTTTTCTTCTCAGTTTATTTGTCTCTATCTCGCTTTTATTAATAGGATAACTTATTTATCTGTTTGTTCATAAATCTGTGTTATGCCTGATGTTTTTAGCATGTAAATGACTGTGGATAAAATAAGGTAGAGTAAGTAACGATATATCGACCAAAATACCATAATTGTATATGATGAACTTAAACGTCTAGATTTTCGCATGATATATTTTATTTTACTGTTTTGAATTTCAATCACACACATACACAAACACATTCACACAATCGGAGAGAGAGAGAGAGAGAGAGAAGAGAGAGAGAGAGAGAGAGAGAGAGAGAGAGAGAGAGAGAGAGAGAGAGAGAGAGAGAGAGAGAGAGAGAGAGAGAGAGAGAGTTCAATTCAAATACTTTATTCCATTAATTACAATGGGTATTCTCTTTACATATAAGATGTTTACACAATGCAATAGGGTGCTATGAACATAGATATTATACAATGCTTGTGGAACAAAATTACACATAACAATAATACCATATGGGATTGAAATATCGTGCTGGGCTTGATGTTTATGCGCCTGATGTCATTGATATTTCAGTAGATGTTCTTTCACTTTTGTTTTAAATGTCTTTTGGTTGGAAATATTTCTTACATTTTCGGGTAATTGGTTCCAAGTCACCAGTCCTCGGATTAGCATATTTCTTGCCCCGGTTTCTGTATTTGATCTACGTATCTCTTTCTCTCTCTCTCTCTCTCTCTCTCTCTCTCTCTCTCTCTCTCTCTCTCTCTCTCTCTCTCTCCTCTCTCTCTCTCTCTCTCTCTCTCTCTCTCTCTCTCTCTCTCTCTTTTGATGTATAGGCAGTTGTTTTGCCTTGTTTGGACACCCGTTGTGTTACCTGTTGTCCGTGTAGGTAATAGCCAATGTAGGTAAATTCCCTGTATAATTTTATGGATTAGAATGCATGTGTCATGGTTGTATTTCTGTTGCACTTTTAGCCATTTTAGTGTGTTGATATTGTGTGTGATGTGGTCATATTTATTTATATTTCCTAGTGCTACTCTTGCTGCAAAGTTCTGTAGTTTCTGTGTCCTTTGTATTTGTGTTTTATTTGTGGAGCCCCAGATGTTTAGGCAGTAATTGATTACACTAAGTGCTAGTGTTTGTATAATAATTCTTGTTTTTGTGGGTATTTTATTTTTGATGTGATTTAAGTATATCAGAGTGCCCATTACTTTCCTGTAGATGTGGTCAATGTGTGTCTCAAATGTCATATATCTGTCTATGTAAACTCCTAGATTTTTTACTGTTGTGCTGGAATTCTATCATTGTATCTATGGGTATTTTTGCAATGTTCTGACGGCTGCCTATGAAAATACATTGTGTTTTCTGTGGATTTAGCTTTAGACCATTTATTTCAAAGTATTGTTTTGCTTCTGTTAGGGTTTGTTTAGCTTTCCCTATTAACTCATTTAAATTGTTAACAGAGGCAGCGTGGAGAAATTGAGTCATCAGCGTACTGAATAAGAAGACAGTCTTTTGCAACTGATGACAGATCATTGATGAAAATAGTGAATAAGATTGGGCCTAGTGGAGCCTTGTGGAACACCGAACGAAACTTGTTTCTTTGATGATACTTTTTCATGAATTTTGACTGATTGAGTTCTCGCGGACAAGTAATCTTTAAACCAAAAGTTATCAATTCCGTGATTTGTAAGTTTGTTGAGAAGGATTTCGTGGCTGACGCTGTCAAAGGCCTTAGATAAGTCACACAAAGTGAGCAAATTTATCTGGTTGTTGTCTATGTTATGAATTTCGTTTGTGATTTTTAGTAACGCTGTTTCGGTTGATAATTTACTTCTAAAACTGTGTTGCGTGTTTGATATAAGGTTGTTCTCTTCCAAAAATGTTAATTGGTTCGCGACTATTTTCTCGAGTACTTTAGATATTACCGGCAGTATTGTGATGGGTCGATAATTATTTATTTCGTCTGTATCACCGGATTTGTAAATGGGTGTGATGATACCATGTTTCCAAAGTGATGGGTAGACACCGGTGACTATGGATGTATTAATGATGACTGTCAGATAGTATGCAATTGCTGGTAGACTATCATTTTTGAAACGCTGTGCAATGCCATCAGCTCCTACGGAATTTGTTTTTCTTAACTGTTTTACTGTTACTATAATTGTTTCTACTCCTACTGGTTGCGGTCTGAAAAAGTTTGTTTTAGGCCTTGTTTCATTTATGTTGCGTAGATTTGTGGAGGCGGTTGTCTGTTCGTAAGTGAGCCTACCGACTTCTGCAAAGAAGTTATTAAAGTATTCTCTATCATTTATGGAATTTGTGGAAATGTCTGTGTTTTGTTTCTTATTTGGCACTAGTGTCTTAACCAGTTTCCATGTTTCAGCAGAATCGTTTCTGCATTCATTGATCTTACTTTTGAAATAATTTGTTTTCGCACTATGAATAAGTGTTTTCACATTCCTTTTCTCGTGTTTATGTTCAGCCTGAAGGGTGGTGTCAGATCTGTTTATCTTGAGAGCTTTCTGAGTATTATTTCTATCATTTATGGCTCTTATGTTGTGTCATCTATCCAGGGGGCGGGAGGACGTTTTACTGTTTTAGTTTTAATGGGTGCGGAGGCGTTTATGCTATTTTTTATCACTTCTGTTAAAGTGGCAATTTGTGTGTCAACATTATCTGTTGCTAAAATATCTAATAGCGATGATTCGTTAGTTATATGTTCGCAGAGTAATTTAGGATCGTAATGGGTTAGATCACGAGAAGTTTTGGTGACTGGTTGTCGCTTTGGTTTTTCTATATTTAAGATCAAGGTTAAAAGCTCGTGGTCTGCAATTGGGCTTGGGATAACATCTGTGTGAAGAATAATATCGGGACTGTTTGTTATTATGACATCTAATATAGAACGAGGTAGTTACCCATGTAGGCTTGTTTACAAGTTGTTTTAATTTATTTTTGTTAATTATCCCAGTTAGTTTTGCATTTGATTTGTGAGAGAGAGAGAGATAGATAGATAGATAGATAGATAGATAGATAGATAGATAGATTGATTGATTGATTGGGGGGAATTTACTTTGTCCCCCCCCTTCATAGATTCAACACTAGTATTGGCAAAAGGGTATGAATGAGAATGAATATCATAATAATACAAGAGATCTATTTAACCAGTTTCAAATACATCTTCATCAGGAATACATGTATTTCTGACAAAGATATATTAGAAACCAGTCATATACACCTTTTGTATTGTGAAGATATTTATTATCATTCACACCTTTCTACATGTCAACATGAATACAGTGGATGAGCATTGGCAAAGCTCTAGTAAATTTGAAGAATGAACTTATGCTGAAGGACTTTCATGGTTGGTTAATCCCATTGAATCACTCTTGCTTCAATTTTATTTCTTATAGATGGATATATATAAAAGTAGAGTCTCACAGATGCATAATTTTTATCAGCGAAGTTGAAGAGTGCAGCCCCCTCCCTTGGTATAAATGAAAAAAAGGGTGCCTCTCCCATGCTTATTCAGTCCAGAGACTTCATTGAGACCCCTAAATTCCTTATGAACAAGAGGTTTTAATCAATCACCGTAACCTAGACAGCCAGCCAGAGATTTTAAGCCAACTGATTTCTCTCATCTTTCCTTATATCAACTAGCAATCAAAACAGGAGAAATTCGTAGCTTCACGGGGATTTGTATATTCAACATTAACAAAAGGTTATGAAAAGCACATCAACATTGCATAATTTATGTATAAAGTAATATACTTACAGAAGTTATAAACTTTTTCCTTCATTCAGCAGGTTACATCAACAAATAATAAAATATTTTGAAGGTTCAGAGTTTACAGGCATAAATGGAGCAGATTCTCTTTGGTTTCCTGAAGAATTGGCAACATTGTGGTTGAATATTTTCCTTTCTAGTGTTTGGTAAAATATAAACTGAAATATCTGTGATAGAATCCTTATTTACAACAAATCTACAATCAGAAAAAAGAAAAGAAAATGGAGAAAAAATTCTTATCTTAAGGGTAATGTAGGTTTGTTTTTCATTCTGTTACAAGGGTACAAATAAGGGTGCAGTATTTATCTTAAAAACAGAAAGAGAAAGAAAAATGTTCTGAGGGGGGGAAAAAGCCTTGTCTTCTATATGATGTAACTCAAAATCATGTCTCAAGATTGTTATCAATTCCAAAACTCATTAATAAAACTTTTCTAATCTATCGCTTAACTTCATAAAAATACAGTATGAAAAAAAAGTCATGCAATGTACATTCCAGACATAAGTACTGACGTGACATTATTTGCAATGAAATGACAACACTCAATACAAAAACACTTTCTTGTTCCATGACGAAACAACTTTGAGAAAAAAAATCCTAACTTACTGTGTAAAAAATCTAATTTTCTGATGAACTTTTATACCCTTTCTATTCATACAATTATCTAACACCCACCAAAAGGCCATAGATATTGGAAAAGAAAAAAAAAATGAGAATGCAAAATAAGTAGAACATATTTTTCAACAGTACGCAAACAATTCAGAACTTCGTTTTCGTAATATAAATGTCAAACATTACTTCTTCCTTGAGTTTTCCTTTCATATCATCAGCAGTTTGGCTGCCTGTACTTATGACACCAACCACAGATGTACACCAAATCAACAACACTTGGTCTAGTGCAGAACTCAAACTATATACAGATGCTGGAATGACGGAATTCTCCTGACAGTCACTGTGGGAAATATTACTTCTCTTTCTTTTGTCAGCCAAGCCTATGCAGCTATACAAATGATCTAGCACCTTCTTTAAAAGCCTTGCAAAGGTCATTCAAAGTGAAAAAAAAATAATAATAATAAGTATTTAAGATTCATGACTAAATCAAAAAAATATAGGTATTTCATCAACACAGTGATAAGCAGAGTAAAACATGCACATAGGAAAATAATCCCGGCACTTGCGTGAATACTAGCATACCCAGGGTCTGGCCAGCGTCGCAGTAATCATCTTTGCTACAAATAACGTGATTCTAACAATTCATCTCCCTTTCCAGGATAACGTACACTAAAATTATGATTTCGAACTGACAAATGCAAAATCAACTTGCACACAAATTAGTTAGACAGTTTGGTTTCTCCTGCAAAGACAGCACAAGCACTACTAGTGAGGTATATTCAGAAAATAATCCTTTTTTCTTATATTATTTCATGAAATATCGCCCTTGTCTAACAAAGATCATTACTGCAAAAGTGACCTTGAGTGCATTTTATTGAGGTGAAGTTTGGTTCCACGATCGAAGGAAAGAAAATATTACAAGCAAGATTTTAGGCTCTCCTTCCTTCTTGCAAATATATATTGGGGATCTCTCGCATTACAGCACGTGATCAGTGGGCCAAACTAGACCTACTAAACATATCTACTGTACATCACTGGGATAATATGTCATATAAAAGGCAGAAAAATCTGACTCTATGCCAATCAGCTTTGACACTATATGCAAGAGCCTTTCATAAAATCATCTTTTACGTCTACTTTTCAAGTTACCTTCTGACATGTCCCCACAGAGGAAATCATTTCTGAATACAACTAATCCCTATCCAATCATTAAAAAGGAAACACATGAAAGGTACCATCTTGTAAATTTCAATGTTAAAAATAGAACTAGCTCTCTGCCACCATCTTTTTCTTGCTTTTTTTTTTTTTTTTTTCTTTTACTTTCCATTTGGTAAACCAGTCAGTGTATCAAAAGGAAAAAAAAAAAAAAAAAAAAAGGAGAGCTACCAATCTGAATCCAACTTTCTGCACGCCTGTACTCTGCATTTCGTAAAAAGAAAAACACACCTTTATCCATTCCTTAAGACTCTACGCACAGGTTTATTTATTCTATGCTTTAAATCCTCTCTTGCTGGGAGGCACAAGGTGGTCGGGGAGGTCACTCGGAAGGTCGTGGTCGTCGAGCTTAATGTTGATGAGGTGCATGGCCAGCGCAAACTCGTCTGCGTCCAGCATGCCATCCTTGTCGATGTCGGAGAGCTTCCACACTTTCCCGAGGACTGAGTTAGGCAGCTTGGACTTGACCATTTCACTCTTAGCAGCTGGAAGATTGGGAGAGGAAGGCAGTCAGAGCAACGAATCATATTCAATAGGACACTATGAGCAAAATACAATAGAATCATACAAAAAAAAGAAGAAGAAGAAAAAAAAAAAAAAAAACTGAAAATGTAAACAAAAAAAAAATAAAATAAAATAAAAATAAAAAAAGACTAAAAAAATAATAATAATAAATAAAATGTTCTAACTGCAGCACCCTCTTTGGTACTTTCTTGAAACCCTGGAAATGTAAAATATTTAACATTCTCACTCTATTACGTACATATCAACCCACTAAAGCCGAGATGGTATGCATAAATTTCATGTGCGCTGTGATCTTAGCTTATTAATTGTGCATACACAGAGGGCTCCACATATTTAGTCAGTAAGAATTTAGCTAATAGGTCTAACCTGATTTCTCCTATTATAATAATAATAATGATAATGAAGATTGATGATTAATGATGATAATAATGATGATGATTTATGATGATCAGTGATGATATTCAAAAGACAACAAAAATAATAAAAATAATAAAAATTATGATAATACTAATAATACTAATATAAATATAATAACAATAATAATAATAAAATAATATAATAATAATAATAATAATAATAACAATAATAATAATAATAACAATAATAATAATAATAACAACAACAACAGCAATAACAAAAACAATAATGATAATGATAACATTAAAGATAAAGAGAATACTAATAATGCCAAAAACAATATTTCTTAAAAATTCGAGGAACAGGGTAAACAGGTGCGGGTCACATAGGCCAAATCTTTGACTCCTTGGTGACTAAGCAATTGTGAAGTCATCTCTATGTCAAAAAAATCAAATAAAAAATTACGGTGTACACAGCATGTACCTGGCACCAGAGGGTTTACCATGTACCTGTGCAACTGGTACATAACATGACCAAAGCAACGAAACAAATGAATATAACAGTCTGATGTGATATGAACAACTCTGTTTACGGGACACAGAAACAGTGACAACAGCAAGAAGCCATCCTTGGATAATTTTACAACATGAAGACACCATAATACTGTGTTCAGAGGCTTTTCCTTTCATAATTATAGGCATGAACAGTATACAGAAAATTAAACCCAAAATGTATGTGTATCAGTATGGTAACTTTCACACGGTTCCCCCCAGTTGGCATGCAATTATTGCAACTAATTTTCAACACAATTCATTGCTGAACAAGAAGCCTTTGTCCCGACATCAGGCTCGAAAAATGTGAAGTGGCATAACAAATAACGGAACAGAGTTGAGAGAGGAAGAGGAGAACAAGGAAGCAAGGAACGAAGAAGAGGCTGAAGAGGAGGAGAATGGAAAAAAGAAAAGGAGATTGCAAGAAAGAGAAAAGGAAAGGATGTTGGAAAGAATAGAAGAAAAAAATTTGAATCTGACTCCCATTACTCTTACAGTGCAATGAACAGAGAGTGAACCACCAACATGACTTCCTTCTTTTCAGGATTTAATTTCTCTTATTTCTTCATTCATTTTTTGGAGGTGGGAGGTTGGTGGGGGTGGAGGGTACGAGCAAGTGGTGCCACTGTAAAATGTGCGTCTTGGATAAGCAAGTGGTGTCGTGTGAAGTGTACCTTCTTGGGGTTCTGAGCTTACCAAATGGGAAGGAACCATTTTTCTGATTTACTGGTGTTGTCTGGGGAAATGGCAATGGCCAGAGAGCTGGACTGAGTTGGTGACATGTCTTCTAAAAGATGCAAGAAAATAGGCTAATTTAAACAAACTTCAGTCATATTAGTTTGCATTCTTTCATACTGATGAAACAGGTGACTCTAATCATGAATAGTAATTTCCATTACCTCGTTCTCAGGGAATAAAATAGACATGATGGCAAATGCATCTTAAAGAAAACTATACTCTTGGTAATTCATTTATCATATTGTCATGTTTTTCCTTGTGTTCAAATTCATTTAGGGTAATTCTCATAACTTTTAAAAATAAGTTGTGGGGTGCAGGTCATTTCTCACAACCTTCAAATAATCTAACCAACTACTGCTGGGAAGGCAAAAATTCACAGCATGTCCGCTGAGTCATATTATTACCGATTATCATCACACATAGATGGCTCAAAAGAAAAAGCTCAATCACCATTACTTCTTATAGCTATTAGTATTGTAAATAACATTATATCAATCCTTATACCAGTAATGAAAATAGTAACAGTGATACTAATGGCATTAGAAAAAAAAAATCCTAAAAACTCGTGGAGAGGGGAATCAGGTGAGGTCACCTAGGCATACTAACTGGTTCCTGTGTGGTTCAGCACTTGTGGAGAACTCAGCATGCAAACAACATGCATAAAAAGAAAACTACATGTAATAATGTGATTACCCAGCTGCCATGAGTTAACACACTTTCCCTCATTAATTTTTAAATCAATGTCCCTGGGAAAATGTGTTCACTTTAGTAATGTTTTGTTAAATGTCAATGCACATAGATGGCTCTGCTGGTGCTTAGCCACGGAGGAGTTAATTAAATGACCTTTTGACCCCACCTGAATTCACCTCTTGAGTTTGCAGGAAAAACGCTTTTTTACTGATGCTATCAACATTGATACTGTTAATGTTATTAGAAACATCATAATTACTATACTGTTATTGGCATTACTAACAGTAGTATTAAATAATAGAAAATATTATCAAAAATCAAAGAAGAGGGTAACCAGGTGAGACGAGTACTTCTCGCAATTGGCTCATTAGTGACTTAGTACT